GAAGCAGATTATTATTATAGATCATGCAGGGAGAACAAAGGGTAAAATATTTAACTGCAGCAGTGTTTGACTATATTCTGTGCAGTGAGAAAACCTGAAGTCATTTTCAAGGTCCACCATTCCTTACTTCTTTTCAGTTGGGTCAAGTTTCTAAGCTTTCTAAATCTCTGTTTTCTGGCTAATGAAAAGAAAATAGGATTCCAACGAGTCTCCTATCTACCTACTCCAGGACTTCTGTAAGGATCAAATGAGATGAGGCCCAGGAAAACACAGACATTCACAGACATTTGGTTACAGTGTAAAATGTTTCCACCTGGCTATAAAGCAAATCGTGTTCCTAGGCTGAAGAAACTCCAAGGAGGCTAGTTGCTAGGGAGAGGAAGCTGGGTGTTGCTATGTGACCTTATTACCAGGATGGACACTTAGCATATTAGCCTTTATATATAGAGATTATATACTGTCTTCCATTTTTTAAACAAATTTAAAAAACTGATTTCAGAGAGAGGAAGGGAGAGGGAGAAAGAGATAGAAACATCAATGATGAGAGAGAATCATTGATTGGTTGCCTCCTGCATGCCCCACTGGGGACCAAGCCCACAACCCAGGCATGTGCTTTGACCAGGAATCCAAGCAGGACCTCCTGGTTCATGGGCCTATGTTCAACCACTGAACCACACTGGCCAGGCTGTATATTGTTTTCTTATAATAAAGTAAGCTAGAGAAAAGAAAAAATTAAGAAAATCATAAGGAGCCGAAACCGGTTTGGCTCAGTGGATAGAGCGTCGGCCTGCGGACTGAAAGGTCCCAGGTTCTATTCCGGTCAAGGGCATGTACCTCATCCCCGGTGGGAGATGTGCAGGAGGCAGCTGATCGATATCTCTCTCATCGATGTTTCTAACTCTCTATCTCTCTCCCTTCCTCTCTGTAAAAAATCAATAAAATATATTTAAAAAAAAAAAAGAAAATCATAAGGAAGAGAAAATACAGTATTTGTTGGAAAAAAGTCCACATAGAAGTGGACCTGTGCAGTTCAAGCCCCGTTTTTCAAGGGCCAACTGCTCCTTCCTTTACAGTCGCTGCGTCCTGAGTGGGCGGCAGCAGAGCATTCTACCTACACCTCTCGGAACGGTGCTATGATTGCTCTAATTGTGGTCATGGCCAACAGGGCAGGCTCCCCGAGGCACCAATCACTATCAGAACAGTCTTCGCGGTCAAGGAGCTCACAGCATAAAACAGGGACAGAACGTTTTTAGCATCGAGGGCTGGGGAGCAAAGGGACCGGTAATAATGGTCAGATGACTCAACAATTGAGACAGCTTTGCTTTGTATTTGTAGGGTCAGTCGTAGCCATTGAATTCCATCCAATAATTATACCAATAATAAAAAATGACTTCAGGTCTGTGCGACAGCCAGTCAAAGGACAGAGCAACTATGAGGGAGAAAATAGCAGTGATTCAGTGGAACGGGGGAGGGAAATAGAAAAGAAAAGAGCAGAGACAGAGAGTCAGGGCTGGGCTTAGTCACTGGCATATCCCGAGTGCCTGGCCCTGCTGCCATCATCATGATATCAAGAGGATCATCGTATTATTATTACAGAGACACATTTTTATATACAGGCGCCCAAAGGCACAGGCACGGAATGAATTATAACCCTGGGCTAGACCTTTTAGGATATTGCATCATAAGGCTTTGAACGGCGGATGGTGCTGACCCCCTACAGGCAGAGAGCCACACAATAACGGAGGAAATTAAAAAGAGAACAATCACGCTGAACTTTCTTTCGTGAGAACAGATGAGAAATCCTGGCTGAATGGGAATGAATTAAGTTTGGGATTTGCAGTTAAGCCCAGGGAGCCTGCAGTGCTCCAAACTCCCCGAGCCATACAGAGGAAGACGCTAGATCAGTGGTTCTCAACCTGTGGGTCGAGACCCCTCGCTCCGAACTCGGCGCAGTTACTCCCCGAGCCATACAGAGGAAGACACTAGATCAGCGGTTCTCAACCTGTGGGTCGTGACCCCTTTGGGGGTCGGACGACCCTTTCACAGGGGTCGCCTAAGACCATCGGAAAACACATATATAATTACATATTGCTTTTGTGATTAATCACTATGCTTTAATTATGTTCAATTTGTAACAATGAAAATACATCCTGCATATCAGATATTTACATGACGATTCATAACAGTAGCAAAATTACAGTTATGAAGTAGCAACAAAAATAATTTTATGGTTGGGGGTCACCACAACATGAGGAACTGTATTAAAGGGTCGCGGCATTAGGAAGGTTGAGAACCACTGCGCTAGATCAAGGGCATTGGAGCAGGAAAAGGGTATTCAATGCCTGGCCCCACCAACCAGCACATGGGTGACCTTAAGTAAGTTATGTGAAAGCTTTAGCCTCCGTTTCCCCACCTGTAAAATGGGTCTAATGATACCTGCATCCCCATCTTGTGATGGGCAGACAGAGTGCCTGCTCCTTACCCAGCAATGGTTCCTGTCCCCTCCCACTGGGGCCTCATCAGCATCTGTGGCCATCGTGCTGGGGCTGCCACTCATATTGTATTCCAGATGAATGGGGCTCCCACAGTCAGGCAATGTGGTGGCCTTGACCAGGCTCAGTCCCTCTCAGGCCCCAATTGCCAAATGTGGTCCCAGCACAGGCTCCTTCATCACAGGGGGTCTAGGGCCTGGAGTGGGCCAGGCAGGGCAGGGGTGCGGGGGGGTGGGAGGGGAGGAGAAAGAGGGGAAGCATTGGCTTCGCCCATGCGGGTGGGCAGTGTGCCCAGACGCACTGCATGGAACCCGTGAGGAAGCTGACCCTTGTCCACTGGATGTGCCCCCACCTCGAGGGCCCCAGGCTGGCCCTGCTATGGTGCTGGTTAGAGGGGAAGGGCTAGGGGTCCTGGCCAAGGGAAGTTAGGCCTGTGACCACTGGCAATCAGGCTGCTCAGAGGGGCCAACTGTGCCCGGGGCCGAGCTGGATGCGGGATTTTTCTTTATTCCCCGAGTCAGGCGGCCCTGTGTGAGGCGGTTCCCATGAGCACAGTGTGGCTCCTGACTAGCGCTTAGGTGAAAACACGCTGTTTCCGTGGTACAAATCACGGCGCAGGGAGAACTCAGAGGAGGGGCCGGGAGGAGACTCCTTGATGAAACATCCAAGTTCAGGATGAAGGTTGTAGTGATCTTGTCCCTGTGGTACAGTGCCCACACCCCTGCCAGGCCACACAACCTGGGGTTAAAGTGTTAACCAGAAGGAGTGCTTACCCAAGGGGGTGAACCAATGTCCTTTATGGGCTTTTATTTCAAACCACAAACTTGAGGTTCTACCTCCCGATACCCCCTGTGACACTCTGCCCGCCCCCCACCCCCGACCCCAAAAGTGGACTGATCCTGGGGAGTGGACATAACTTACAAAGAGATTCAAAAGATGCTTCAGAGTCAGAGAGGGACTTCCACTGGGCCCTACTCTATCCCAGCATCGGGAAATAAACCATATTCTGCTCTTTGCCCAGGAAAAAAGTAAGAAATGAGTCAGCGCTGTCTACCTCGGCGTCGAAGCCAGAGTGAAGACCGCGCTGCGTGGGAGCCAGGCGTCTGGCAAGACAGGTCTCCTGACAAGAAGAGAAAACCCCGGAGGTATTAGTGTAGAACCCAAGTGGGAACCCTGTGCTAAAAGGCTCCCTTAGTGAAGGCGGCAGCGAAATAAGCTGACAGCATGTTGACAAAGGAAGGTCCTGCCCATCAGCCAATGAAGTGAAATCTCTGATAAAGCCATAGGATGCTCCCTGTCACCCCATGCGCCTGGCGGCTGGGGAATCCTGGGCAGAGTCTATGCAGGCGAGGCTGCTGACCATCCCTTCTGGGATGGCGTGTCTGCCATGTGGCTGCTCTGCACACCCTTCTTTCACTCTGTTCAGAAAGGGGGTGCTTGCCCCTAACCCCCAGGAGGAGTGGGGTGAGCACTAGGCACTGCTCCCCCACTCATGTGACTTTCCGGTTTTAAGCTGTACCTGTGTGTTGCCCTGGCCCCATGCTCTGCCTGCTGGCACCCGGAGCTGTGGAACCCACGCCCAACGGGCCAGTCCTCCCCAGGCTCAGCCTCTGCTTCTTCCACGCTCTGCGTGTCCTCCGCTGGGGCCCCTCACACAGAGAGCCTGGATTTCACAGGCCGGGTGCCGCTACTGCGGACATGAGCAGGCCCAGACCCGGGTCACAGGAAGGGCACTGTGCTTCGAGACGCCCCTGGCTTAGTCTCAGGGTGACAGACAGGAAGGCTGAGCCACACCACGACTTCCCAATTAGGTCTCGATGTGGCCATTTTGGTGACTCAGATGGCAGTGGCCATTCTCTTGCTGTCCCTTTCCGGTTTTGGAAAAGCAAGTGGTCTTCCTGATACAGCTTTTTATTTTCCTCAAGGGACTTAGTACAGCTCTTTCCGGGATGAATGAAAAAGTGCCTACTGACATCTTGATTTTCCCTGGATTGGTCTCTGTGGAGAAACCTACCTCTGTATTCTCCACAGTCCCTTTGTATCTATTCTTTCTTTCTCCTCCCTCACCCCTCCTACCCGGACTCTCACACACACTTTCTCAGTTTCTCCCCCTGCCCACCACCCTATTCCTTTATGCCAGCCGGTGGGCACACGAGTTAATTCCAGATGGTTCCGTGTGCTGACCCCGTTTCTCGGGGAGAGCATGCAAGACGCCTGCGTTACTGCCTGGAGACTCACCCAGCGGATGCTGGAGGCAGGGTGGCCTCCGGGGGAGGCCGCGGTCCCCTCGTCGGCCGCCTTCGCACTGCAGCTCTGGGGCTGTGACCACTCTGACTCTTCTTCCATTTGCTGCTCACCTTTGCTCTTCTGTTTTCTTATGATCTGGGGAGGAGGTGGGGTGACAAAGGGGGAGAGTTATGGAGAGGCCTCGGAGTCTAGGTGGCGTGACCGGGACCACCTTTGGGATTTTTCTTTCAGCCACGCGAGAGCAGCCTCAGAAGGCCAGCCTCCTTCAGATCTGTCTTATGACAAAACAGTACAACTATGGCCTTGAACATTCCACAGCACTTTACAGTTCACAAATAATCATTTTATGATGGCAACGACTTCTTCTCTTTACCAAGTGCCTATCATGTGCCAGACGCTGGGCCAGGCACCAGAGATGCTTTATCTCATTTAATCCTCAAAACACTGCTAAGAACTACAGACTGTAACTACACCTGTTGTACAGATGAGGCAACAGGCTCAGAGGTTAAGTTACCAGTTAAGGATGCACAGCTCACAAAGAGTGGAGCTGGAGCTCAAACCAGAGTCTCCGGCTGTAAATCTTGATTTTAGGAAGCATCGGGAAGGCCTGTGCAGGGGGCAGACAGCAGGAGTCATCAGGGTTGGCTTCGGCTTGCTCGCTCCGCTTGCTGTGTTGGGCACAGCCATGGGGACTGAATGAGTCCATTCATACAATGGTCTCTGGGCTCCCAACTTCCTACAGGCAGGAAGTAGCTGAGAAAACGGCTGAGCCACCAAGATGAGCATATCCTCCAATGCCTTTTTGGACCAGACAAGATGATGAAGAGGAAGGCTGAGAGCCAAGGAAAGCAATGAACTACAGTGCATTCCCTGGGCCTACTCAAGGCCCACCCCCGACCTGCAGAGTGGGGACCTGGCATGTGCACCTAGCAGGATTTCAGAAATGCTATGGACCGGTCACCTCCCGACTTTGCAGGTGGGTGGGGTAGTGTTGCTGTCCTATTCCGGCATTGTGTGTTGGTATGTGGGGACAGGTGACTTGTTTGCTTAGTTCATAGGTCTCCATCTTAAAAGGAACTGACTCTGAATCACATGTACAATGACTTTGATCTGTTATTGACTGAGGCATTTGGGGGTCGTTAGGTGGGAAGAGTGTCATGTGAAAGAGACAAGACTTACTGTGACTAAAAGGAAGACTGAATTTCTCCAATGCTCCCTTTGTTGTGTGAGTCTGTGCTTCTCCCAGGACAGGGAGGATATACAGGTGACCGTTTAATAACACAGGTATGAACTCCATGGGTCTACTTAAATGCAGATTTTTAAAAATCCACATATATGTGAATCCATGCAGTTCTAACCTGCGTGGTTCAAGGGTCAACTGTATTTTTCTTTTTTAAAAATATATTTTTATTGATTTCAGAGAGGAAGGGAGAGGGAGAGATAGAAACATCAATGATGAGAGAGAACTATTGATTGACTGCCTCCTGCACGCCCCCTACTGGGGATCCAGCCTGCAACTTGGGCAAGTGACCTGGCCAGGAATTGAATAAACTGTGACCTTCTGGTTCATGGGTCAACACTCAACCACTGAGCCACACCAGCCGGGCTTACCTGTTTTTTTCTTACTGCAGTTGAGAATCTGCATAAGCAGAAAACTGACTTATTTTATACATGGCTTTTCAACTGCACAGATGGTTGGCACCCTAACTCCCACAGTGTTCGAGGATCAAGTGTATCTCCCACCTTTGGCTTTGTGTTGACTATGTGCCTGGCTTTGGCCAATGACATGTGAGGAGGGAGTGGGCTACAGGGAGTTATGGCTGAGCCTAGGCCTTGATAGACGTCACTGGCTTCCTCTGGCTGCCTTGTGCTTGGTCATGGTCATGAGTAGCTGATGAGGTAAATGAGGTAGGGCCCCAGAGTGAACACACTTGACCCCAACCCACTGCTTTAGATGGAGCCAGTACAGATGCATGAGCGAGAAAGAAACTGTGGTACAATAAAAAATATATTTGCTGTTAGACTGATTCCAGGTACAGAGCTTCAAAAATCCTTGGAATATTTTGAGTGATAAGAGTGTCCTTGTTATGCTAATGAGGTGACTCATGGCCAGGGCCACTAGATAGGAGGAGGCTGGTGGCTAAAAAAAACAACCAACCAGAGAAAGACAAATACCATACTATTTCACTTACATGCAGAATCTTAAAAACAAAATAAAAGGACAAACCAAACAGAAACATATTCATAGATATAGAGAGCAAATGGATAGTTGCCAGATTGGATAGGATTGGCTGATGGGTGAAAAAGGTGAGAGATGAAGAAGTACAAATTGGTAGTCACAAAACAGTCATGGGATGTAAAGTACAGCATAGGGAATATACTCAGTAATTCTGTAATAACTATGTATGGTATCAGGTGGGTATTAAACTTATTGGGGTGACCATTTCATAAATGTCTAATCCAGGGGTGGGCAAACTTTTTGACTCGAGGGCCACAATGGGTTCTTAAACTGGACCGGAGGGCCGGAACAAAAGCATGGATGGAGTGTTTGTGTGAACTAATATAAATTCAAAGTAAACATCATTACATAAAAGGGTACGGTCTTTTTTTTTTTTTAGTTTTATTCATTTCAAACGGGCCGCATCTGGCCCGAGGGCCGTAGTTTGCCCACGGCTGGTCTAATCACTAAGTTATAACCTGAAACTAATATAATATTGTATGTCAACTGTAATTGAAAAGCAATTAAAACCCCAATCCTGTAAACCAAGGAACTTTAAGCTCTACCCCAACCTCTGGGGAGGGGACAGGGACTAAAGATTGAGTTCATGCAGGTGGTCAATGACTTAAGCCAGCGGTGCTCAACCTGTGGGTTGTGACCCCTTTGGCGGTCGAACGACCCTTTCACAAGGGGTCGCCTAAGACCATCCTGCATATCAGATATTTACATTACGATTCATAACAGTAGCAACATTACAGTTATGAAGTAGCAACGAAAATAATTTTATGGTTGGGTCACAACATGAGGAACTGTATTTAAAGGGCCAGAAGGTTGAGAACCACAGACTTAAGCAATTATGCCTACTTAATGAAGCCTCTATTAAAAACTCTGAAACACTGAGGCTTGGGGAGCTTCCTAGCTGGTACAGGCACAGAGAGGGCATGGACAGTTTGTACACCCCTTCCGCAGATCTTGTGGTCCCATCATCTCTTCCACTGGCTGTTCATTTGTATCTTTTATAATAATAAAGAGGTCATTGTAACCATAGCACTTTCCTGCGTTCTATCAGTTGTTCTAGCAAATTATCCAAATTGAGGGAGGGTCATCGGAAGCCCTGAATTTGTAGAGGGCTGGGCAGACGTGGGTGACGTGGGGATTCCCTTAGACTTGCACTGGCATCTTGTGGGACTGAGCCCTTCACGTGTGGCGTCTGTGCTAACTCTGCCTCGTGTCAGAACTGAATGGAATTCTCGGGGTTGGCGTACTGGCTGTGAAACACAGAAATAAGCCTGTTTAAAGCCACAGAGTTTTTGGGGTGGGTGGTTTCTAAGTTGTCATTACTGATACACCTGGCAAAGGACAGTTTAGGCAACGTAGGTAGCAGGGGGTGACTGCAAGCTTTTTCTGCAAAAGACTGTTTGAGAAGTGTAAGAAGAGGATACCCACACATGCACACACGCACACACATGTACACAGGCATGCACACACATGTACACAGGCATGCACATACACACAAAGCTCAGGAAACAGGAAGCCAGTGAGTAACCTGCTCAGTGCTGAATTCCTGGCTCCCCACCCACCAGCTCCATCCCCAAAGGCAAACACACTCCATCCTTTGTCTTAGATTTTGCAGTGCAATCCCTCTGCATTAGCCTCCAGAGCACAGAGGACAAGACGACAAGGCACAGAAATGGTGCCCAAGACAACAACCACACCAGTGGTTGCTCTACAGCTCTCGGGAGGCCCTGCTCTGGGCCAGGGTGGTAAGTTGCCGTCATCGGATGGCCGGGCCACCTACCTTCTGCAAGATAGTCGTGGCCAGCTCCTCAGTCAGCTCCTCCTTGTGGTCCCGCAAGTAACTGGCCTCATTCTGCTTGTCCTGCAGAGGGAGGGAACAGAATGGCCGATTGCTGGGCAGGTTTGGGGTACAATCACTTTCGTGGGAGTGAGAGGTTGACACTGGTTTCCTGACAACCAGCACTTTTCTCCGGCAGCCAGGACCCCGACCCACACCACCCCAGAGAGGAGAAGGGGGTCCATACCAGGCTGTCCCCATAGGCTTCTGCTTTGGAAATCGCCTCCTCGATGGCCTCTTCGGCCACACGTAAGGCAACAGCCAATGTGTCCATCATGCTGTGTCCTAGGAAACAGAACAGAGGTCGCTTTCTGAAAGGGAATGACAAGTAAAATGACGGCTCCACTCGAAGCTCTTCTGCTTAGCTCTTCTGCTCAGACCTCTGGGGAAGGAGCTGAAGTGTCGGAAAAGGCTTTATTTGAAACTAGAAATTTGTTTTTGCTTTTAACCTCTGCTCCGAGGGAACTATTACACTGGTATAAAAAAGTAGAAGTTAATCAGTAAGTGGTACATTCTTTATAAGAATACTTTAATATGAAGTGCCCAGGTATGTTGATTTTTATATTCCAACTCCAAACACTCACTAGTTGATCACCAAGTATCTGGCGGTTGGGTAGCAAATGCACTTCTCTAGGCCACACCTTGGATTTACTCATCTATTTTGATGACGGATCCATACAAATGGCAACCCCTGGAGACTCCCACACAGCAATACATAGTTGTATCAAGTGTTCACAATGCAACTGGGAGATCTGGACAGAATCTCCCAGTAGAAGGTGCTTCTATTCTTCCACCCTTCCATTAGCTGTAAATTCTTAAGCAAGTTTACCTTCTGATTGCCTATAAAATGTTGAATCACTGCCTGAAACACTTCCTTCATTCTCCAGGTTTGTCTCAAAAAAGCTTCCTCCTGGGGGAGGGGGAAGAAAGGAGAGAGTGAGAAATCATGATTATCAAAGGTCTTCAGGGAGCACAGATGCACCAAATTGGCAAACCACCATTACCCACCTGAAGTTAGCCCTGCTAACAGGTTAGGGAATCACTGGGTTACACAACAATGCTACACTTTTGGATCAATCACATTTTTCTTCTCACATTGATGATTCCTGGTGTAGCATTGCTACCACCCCAACTTTCTTCCAGTACCTTCTTTGGAGGCAATGTGGAATCCAAGACAGGAAAATGGATTGAATTCAGAGAAATGTGAGGTCAACTCCTGGACCTGCAAGTTATTAGTCATGTGACCTTGAGCAAGCACCCTTAGATGAATTGAAGATGGAACCATTTATTCAGAATTCTCCTGAACAAATTATAGAGAAATTGGCTGTGCCTGAGGATTACCCAGAGAGCTTTAAACAATATCTGTACGGAGTCCCCTCCAGAGATTCAGAAGTAATTGGCTGAGCATTGGAAGATGATCTGGGCACTGGGTTTTTGTTTTTTTTTAAGCACCCGAGGTCCCAGTACCAATATTGCATCCTCTAGCCCGTGGTCGGCAAACCGCGGCTCACGAGCCACATGCGGCTCTTTGGCCCCTTGAGTGTGGCTCTTCCACAAAATACCACGTGCGGGCGCGCACGTACAGTGCGATTGAAACTTCGTGGCCCACGTGCAGAAATCGGTATTTTGGGGAAGAGCCACACTGAAGGGGCCAAAGAGCAGCATGTGGCTCGCGAGCCGCAGTTTGCCGAGCTGCAGTTTGCCGAGCACTGCCCTAGGTGATTCTAATGGGTAGTCAGGATTGAGGATGGCAGATGGCAACCATACAAGGGTGTTGGGTTGTAGCTAGAAGACAACGGTAATGACTCCCCACTCATCTCACATAACCAGGAGGCCACGTAAGCACTTGAGGTGGGACTAAATTTTCTAGGTGGCGTGCAGAATAAATCTCATTGTTTTGAGATCATGGCTTTACAGGCTTGAGTACCATCTCATAAAGTGTCTCCTGTCAGCTTGTTTTCATGTTTATCAAGAGGAAATCGTAATTAAAATGGAGACACCAATCATATTAAAGCAACCAATTCTAATATGTCTATGAAGTGTCTTGGTACCTACAAAATGCTTTAAGACTGAACTAGCTAGTGCAATATGGAGATCATAATCTATGCCGGGCATTGAGCCTTGCTTTGAGAACACAGAGACAAAGGAGCTGTTGTCTCCACGTGGCCCGGCAGGAGCGAAGCTTAGTCAACCATCACCGGATGCAGTGTGCTAAGTGCTGTGACTGAGCGCCAGGTGAGAGAAGTGGTGAATCGCCGAGGGCCCGGGACCTACATCTGTTCCAATCACGGCAGACAGTTATTCCCAGCAAACGATCATCCTTTGACAATGACACTGGAGGATTTCAAAGCCCTGAGCTGGCCCACTTGGGATTCGTGTCAGCCTGCTCCACTGGTGGGGCCACTGGGAGAAATGGAATGAGATCAGAATTGTGTTCTGTGCTGTGAGAGTCTCTACACAGGTTTGTTTCCTTTCCATTTGCATTAAGCCCTACAGAACGCCGATGAGATTTGAATTTGGGGACACATAAAGGGGTCCCTAAAGCAGACCGGAGGATGTACAAGAGAGGAAAGAAAAGATGGCATGCAAATGAGTGAGCCGATTCTATTCTGAAACTTTCTTGAGAAATATTTTTGGGTTCAAAAATTACTGTGACCACCTTTACTTTAAATTTCTCTTTTCTGCCTCCATTTCTAGAAACATATTTTTAGAAAACCCTACAAAGAGAAGATAAAAATAATAGGTGGCAACCTTGGGCACTGCTCTCTTCGCCATAGGCAGAAAGACAGAGATTCTAACTACCACCACAAAAGGCGCTAATGACTCCAGGTTTAATGCTTCCATCCTGTTTTGGAGAATACAAAACAATGATGGTGAAAAAGCTCTAAATGAGATGGAGGAGATTCGCCCTCACCTCTTTCTTGTGCATAAAAAGCATTCACCCGTGTCAGCAAAGTGATAGGGGAAAAACCTCCCGCTAGACAGGAAAAAACAGCCTTTCTTTGGAAGAGGTGCTTTTTATATTCTGACAACAATTTCTTTGTACTGGCTGGTCTACTAGAACTATAGCATATACACTGAGTGGCCAGATTATTATGACCACCTGACGTTTGTAGGCAAATTAGCTATAATTTCGAGCTAAAGTTGCTAGAGGGCCAGACCATTATAAATAGGGAAGCAGGTTGTTTACCACAACAGTAGAAGTGATTTTTTTCTGAAGATAAGGGTAAACAACGCGATTTAACAGCCTTTGAATGTGGGAGATATATATATACTACTTCCTCATTCTGGTTTAGCTACATTGGCTGTTTGAACTGAATAAAACAGCGTACGCAGGTGTCATCCTTCAAGCTTTCTGGAGGAAGCTGACATTTTTCTCACTCTCCCTTCCCCTCACGTTCGGGGCCTGGTACAGAGACCGTTTTGGAGTAGGAGGAAAGGGAAGTGGAGGCCATATTCTCCGAGTGCGGACCTAGTCTACACAATCGACCCAAGATGACTTCCTGATGCTGTAATCATTAGGGAAAGATGATTAAGAATCTTTTATTTCTAAGGATCCAGAATTAGAATGTCCACAATTTGCAGCCATACTTTGGTCCTCCTAGCTCCTAATCTACCCAGCCCACTGGAGCTGCTGGGACCAAAAGACTCAGAACTTAAGAGAAGGTTTTATTTATGTCCTGTTTTGGCTCCTCACTAGAAGGGGGATATTTAAGGAGCTCGTTCTGTCCAGGTGAGTGTGCCTCAGCATACGGGGCCTCCAGGCAAGGCCTTCTTCTACCCCCCACCGCCCGCCCCCCAAGGACTCCCAGAGCAAGAGGCAGCCAGCATACCGAGGATGTCGAAGCCTGCTCCACTCTCCAGCCGGTGTTTCCTGTACAGGTTTTTCAGGACCTTGGCGCTGCCAAAGCGCTTGAAGCGGCTCTTCACATTATTGTAGAACCATTCCAGAGACTGGGTTCGCAGGAGCCTGAGGGAAACACAGAATCACAGGAGAGAACATCTGAATTACAAGATAAGATGGCTGAATGGTGGATGGCAAAGGTTGCCGCCTGGGGGGTTGGGGGGAGTCCATGGATTCCACAGATCGGCTGTTGAGACTTGTGCCCTAGCGACTCCATGGGGGTGAGATGGGAGAAGAGCTTTGAAGGAGGCTGGAGTGTAAGGGCTAAAAACCAACGGAAACACCGTTGCCCAAGAAAGGTCTATGGAAGAATCCATTTTTGAAGCGGCCTGGTGGTGGATGTCAGGGTACCCTCTGTTCCTTCTAGAACTTTCCCAGGTGTCACTCACAGGGCTTGGGCCCAGCAGCCATTCTGGCCTTGGCAGGACCTGCCCTGCTGTCCCCATCTGGCCCTCAAGGAGGCTTCTCCAGACTTGTGGCCACTGGCACTGGCCTCCCTGAACTTTCCCATCTCTCAGGCGGTCTCCGTGGCTCTCGGCTCCACTCTCGAGCTTGATTCATTCCTCTTTGTACGGTTCGGAGAGTTTGACGCATACACAACCAGGCAGTTGTCAACCAGGGGGATGGGGAGGGGGGAGGGGGAAAGAAATGATTTCTTTTAGCCTCAGCTGTCTGGAGGCAGGAATAAAGGTTATTTGAATATGGCTTTTCTTTTGCCTTCTTATTTAAAAAGCTGATCGGGACTTCTTTCTTTTACTTGTCAGAACCAATGTGAAGTAAGAGAATTCAACAGAGTTCATTTGAAAGAGCTGCAGTTCTTGCTCCAGCTGCAGAAATTTGCACTCCAAGCTACGCCGGCCCAGAAGGGCCAGCTTGCATCTTCCGGTGCTGATTAGCATGACGGAGACGGCAAAGAACAGTCAACACTTATGGATTCTTTCCCCACCTCATCACTCAGTGTGTGGCCTGGAAGATGTCAGTTTATCTCCCTGCATCTCATCTCCCTCGTCCTCAGAATACAAATGATCACAGCTTTTTGCAACCGAATTTCCAGCACCACACAGTTGCATCCGATACTGCCTCACCTCTCAGGTCCTGACACATCAATGTGCCAGTTCTGCTCTGATAACATCTTCACGCTCGTATTAAGAAATGTGCCCAATGCCTACATTTTTGGTTTAGTCACCTGTTTCATTAGTGGTAACATCATGCTCTATACCAGTGGTTCTCAACCTTCTGGCCCTTTAAATACAGTTCCTCAACTGTGACCCAACCCTAAAATTATTTTCGTTGCTACTTCATAACTGTAATGTTGCTACTGTTATGAATCGTTATGTAAATATCTGATATGCAGGATGGTCTTAGGCGACCCCTGTGAAAGGGTCATTCGACTGCCAAAGGGGTCGCGACCCACAGGTTGAGAACCGCTGCTCTATACTATAGAATCTATAGCAGTGAGGGCGAACCTTTTGAGCTCGGCGTGTCAGCATTTTGAAAAACCCTAACTTAACTCTGGTGCCGTGTCACATATAGAAATTTTTTGATATTTGCAACCATAGTAAAACAAAGACTTATATTTTTTTATATTTATTTTATATATTTAAATGCCATTTAACAAAGAAAAATCAACCCAAAAAATGAGTTCGCGTGTCACCTCTGACACGTGTGCCATAGGTTCGCCATCACCGGTCTATAGTGAGGTGTTTCCCCTTCCAATTAAGGCCCAAGCTGGTTGTTGGAGTCTCTGTGGCTCCCAAGCAGTGTTAACGTCCTCACTCCCATCCCCTCCTCAAACAATCCCATGTATAGTCCACCGGCACTGCCCTCCAAGGTCCCAAACCTTCCTGTGAAGTCAAGGGGCCATGCCATCGATCTTCGCTCAGGTGCTATTTCAGCCCATAATGGATGTGCTCGCCCCCTGCACTGTTTCCGAAATGCCGTTTCTCCTGTGGCTCCCATGATACTCTGACTTTCAGAATGCTTGCTTCCCTTCTCAATCCCCGCCCTTTGTAATGACTTGTATGTGTTGGGAGTTTGGAGGAACAACAGAATAAAACCTTTTCATATTAAAGAATAAAGAGATAAACCAAGCCATTTAGAAGTATGAAGATAAATACCAAAACAAAGCTAAAGTTGAAAATGATTGCATTTAGCAAGCAGGACTAGGGTGGAGGTGGGGGGAAAGGGACTACTGTGTTTTTATTTGTTGTTGTTGTTTTTTTGTACCATAAATCAAGAGAACTAGCTGATATTTTATGTAGGTACATCTATGACTTTGATGACCATAACATTAAATACAGATCCAAGGATTTAGCTCTTGGCTTAAGGACCCTGAGAAGTCCCTTAATGTCCCTTCTGGGCGGTAGACACTTAGCATTCTGCAGGAGCTCTGTGAAAATCCAGGCTGAAACAATGAAATCCCCGAGAACACACATGTCCCCTCCGTTGCTGCCCATAAAGCCCAAGTGTAGAATGAGCCTGGAATAGGTCAGCACCCTCCCATTCAGACCCGACTCTCCTACTCCCGGCTGCAATACAGTAGGAGTCCAGCCGCAGACTCAGACGTCTGCAGCGAAGACAGCCACACCTGCAGCACTCGCCCCATCAGGGTTGTTTTAGCAGCAGCAGAATACATTCCTCCTGTGTTTGCCATGTAGTCAATCAAGAGAGGAGAAATACAGTTTTCTATCTTTTAAATAAAACCAGCAGTACAAAATGTCCCTTTAAAGTCATCGCTTAAATGTTTGCACAGATACTCATATGCAAAACGCTGAAAACGTATGCACCAAATAGGACCAAAACGACCCGGTCCTGTAGAAAACATCAATGACAACAACCAGGCAGCCTACAGGAAAGGATTATAGTACATAATCAATAAGAGGAAGCTAAGAAATAAAGGGCAAGTCAATATGGTTTAATTACGAAAATTACCGGAAGCAGTGGGTTTCTCTCTGTCAAGTTCTTCTACCCAGATCTAGTTCAGGTGTCTTGAGATTGAATTAAATGCCAGGTCACAGATAATGGGGGTCCCCAAATCTTCACTCCATGTCCTCCTGGCCAGAAATACCCAAAGACAGAGCATGAACCAAGAATCCTTCTGAGGAAGACACAGGGCTCCCGGCAGAGAGCTACCCCCGAGCGAAGGCGCAGCACACTGCCACCATCTGTTTCTATTACCGGCTTCCGAAGGGAGGTGACGGGGAGCTGTGAAACCGCAGACAACCAAGCTGAGAAAAACCCATCAACCCGTGCGAGGTGGGAGGGAGAGGGACCAAAACTCATTTAAAGCTGCCCAATTGAATAGAACTTTGTGGGGGAAATGTCATGTGAATTTTTGCTTGTATCTATTTTTTAAAAAAAATATTTTTTATTGATTTCAGAGAGGAAGGGAGAGGGAGAGAGAAATAAAAATATCAATGATGAGAGAGAGAGAATCATTGATCGGCTGCCTCCTGCATGCCCTACACTGGGGATCGAGCCCGCAGCCTGGGCATGTGCCCTGACTGGGAAATGAACCATGACCTCCTGGTTCAAAGGTCGATGCTCAACCACGGAGCCATGCTGGCCGGGGTAATTTTTTTTTTTTTACTTTCTTGCTTTGCAGATTCAAGATCCTGTTATATAGAAACACCCAGGACGTGGTTTCATCACGTACTTTCTCATCAGTCAGACCACGGGGTCTGCTTTGCTAAATGTTCTCAACATAGACATTCCTGCCATAGCTGCAAGAGCCAGAGCAGGGGGTGGGGGGAGGAAGGAGTGGAAGAGAACCCCGGGGGTCTCAGGCAGGGCGAGCGGGCACTCTTCCCTGGGGAGCACAGGAGGGTGTGCACACGTTTTGCCCCGTCCATACTGACTCCGGTGTGTGCAAATGTAGCTACAGCGTGAGGTATGGACGTGACCACTCACTGGCTGTGACCACAGGCAGTTTATTTTGCTTTTTGGAGCTTCAGCAGCCTCATTTGTACAATAGGCATCATTCCCACCGCCACCTTGTTGAAAGGATGAAACAGACCATCATCCGTGTGGTGCTTTATAATACTTAGTATATTTTAGACCGTAAATATTAGTACCACCTCCTCTGCAGAGCAGTTAGTAATAAGCACAGGTAACGTGTTGCTTTGACCACACAAATGATAGAGATTATCACAGAATATTTCTTTGTGACCCCAGGCACTTGCTTTAAATGTGCCCCTTGCAACGTCCCTCCTGTTCTGCTGCAAGACTCCCTCCCTTGTATGTAGGGAGGATGAATTCAGGACGCCACCAGCGCAGAAGGTTCTACAGCAGTGGTTCTCAATCTTCCTAATGCTGCGACCCCTTAATACAGTTCCTCATGTTGTGGTGACCCCCAATTTCATTGTTACAAATTGAACATAATTAAAGCATAGTGATTAATCACAAAAACAATATGTAATTATATATGTGTTTTCCGATGGTCTTAGGCGACCCCTGTGAAAGGGTCGTTCGACCCTCAAAGGGGTCGTGACCCACAGGTTGAGAACCACTGTTCTACAGGAACAGCTGCCTAACTGCCCAATGCCATCCCCAGAGCCAGGTGGGCCAGTCTGTTCTCTGCCCAAGACCTGGGTTGATTTTTCAGGTAAGATTTCATCCTGGGGCTAAATAAAACAGAAGGTCTTGATTCGAAATTTCTGCTCAAACACACACACACACACACACACACACACACACACACACACGCATGCACAAAGGGAGCAGAACATTTGATAGGAAAGGGCCGGAAGCTTCTCTCTACAGGATCTAGGCATGGTTTTGAAGAATGCTTTCCCCTTGATTATGAAGCGGCAGGTAGAATATTCTGCAAGTGATCATATGAGCTCCCACCCCTGTGTGAGTGCGTGTGCATGACTCAGGTACCCACTGGGGACCCAGGGCTCCTGCGTACAGCCCACAACTGCTACACAGACAGCGCCTGCTGAGAAAGGACCTCAGATAAGCCAAGAGCATTCAGGAGGAGAGGAGGAAATTGGTTCTTTCCTGCCCGCTGCCAACTACCCGCATCCTCAGCCGGCGGGTCCCTTTCTTCCAGACAAGTGCACGTG